TCCTCTGATAGACCAACAAGCTCTCTTTCTCTCTCTCTCCCCTCTTTCTCTCTTCTCCCCCCCCTCTCTCTCTCCCCTCTTTCTCTCTCTCTCCCCTCTTTCTCTCTTCTCACCCCTCTCTCTCTCCATGTATGTTTTGAATGTCCCTCAGATCAACCACCAGAGAGGGCAGCTACTAGATGACTGTTCAATTCCATAGGGATGTTATTCACCAGGGAGATGCTAGGGGAATGAGAGCACTAATCTGTGTTCACATTCTCAGACTGGAGTGTACCAGACACTAGCATGGTCTGCCAGGGTCTTCCTCCTTAGAGGTCCTGTAAGGTGAAGTGGAGGATCTCAGGAGTGAGTGAATCAGTGTCAGTGAACTGACTAACTAACTAATGGACTGGTCAGTGATATATCACAGACCAGGGGTTGAGAAACTCTGTTAGTGTTAGTCTGCTTTGACTACTCACATTCTCCTGTCAGACAGCGCCACAGAGACAGAGGGAGGAAGAGAGAGAGAGCACTTCCACTCTCCCATCCAGCCAGAGAAGGATCCTCCGTCTGATTGGCTCAGCAGAATGGCCAGAGTCCGGTCACATGATCCTGTCAGCCAATAGGAACTGGAGTTGGGCTTCTGTCAGGAAAAGTGCTGTAGCATGCTGGATGAGGCCTCTGGCTGACCTGAACAAGTATTTTTCTTTCAACTGTTGCGAAGGACACACACACACACACACACTGACTCATGAACACTGGTGTTGATTGAAATGTCACCACCATGTTTCTAATGTTTATCTAAATTAAATCTATGATTCCTCCTATGGAGAGATCGCTAGGCCATACGCTGGCATGCTGAAACCTCCAGTTAGGCCTACTCTACTGTTTACTGCAGGTAGGGCTGCTTTACGACCACATGGTGTTGTGACCAGTGGTTATTACACAGAGAAGTGAGTCTGACCTTTATTGTTTCTCTCTGCAGTCTGTGATGTGTTATGATCACCTTTGGACTGCACTGTGGCTCTGTTTTGTAGCAGGGAAGATTCCTGTATCTGTGCTGTTGTGGTTAACTCTGCCTAGAAAACTCACCTATACAAGAATCAACTGCCTAAAGCACAGTAGGACATAGGCATTTCTATTCCTAAAATGTATGTTGCTTTTTAGAATTGGCTGTGAGAGTGAAATTTGGAATTCTTCTAAGGAGTGTGTGGTAGTTCTAAGCAGTGTACTGTTCCCTAGCCTCCTCTCTGCTCTGTGTACGTCTGCTCCTTCCTGTTGTGATCTTCAACAGTATTTTACAGAGTTCCTTTCTACATTTCTGGAATAGCAGGCAATCTGAGAGACGTGCCCTAAAGGCATGGAAAGTACAAGAGTTCAATATCTCTGCTAGTGTGCTCACAGAAGGTCAACAGGGTTCTTCACCTGTCCTGTCCCACCAGGATTCTGCACCCCCCCCCCCCCCCCCCCCCCCCGTCCTGTCTGTGTTGTGGAGGTGTTGGTTTCTCAGTGAATACATGGACCCTCCCTCCCTGCCTCTGAGTTCAGCAGGATGATGTTGTATCAGTAATCTCATGATGCTAGCAGGAATGCTATGCTGCAGAGAAGTGTGGACGGGTGAAACAAAAGCATTAATGCTGTCTCAATAGCAGCAGCACCCACCCATGACTCAGTGTCATTAACCTAGCAGTGTTTCTACAACAGGATGTGCAGGGGTTTGCCAAAACCACATCCTATAGCCCACGTTTGAGAAACTACTTTTGACACATCAACGTGTCTATATCACCACTTATTGTTTTTAACATTCATTTTTTTATTTTATTTAACCTTTATTTAACTAGGCAAGTCAGTTAAGAACAAATTCTTATTTACAATGACGGCCTATCCCGGCCAAAACCTCCCCTAACCCGGACGATACTGTGCCAATTGTGCACCGCACTATGGGACTCCCGATCACGGCCGGATGTGACACAGCCCGGGATCAAACCAGGGTCTGTAGTGACGCCTCTAGCACTGAGATGCAGTGCCTTAGACCGCTGCGCCACATCATCTGCACTCATCTCAATAGACATGATAGGTGGATGCTTTATAGCAGACGTCCAGGTGTCCTGTCCACTTCTATCAGATCAGTGCTGACAGAGGAGATGAGATGACGAGAGGAAGGCATTTTAGAGTATGGAGATACACCCATGATGCAGGAAAGGAGATGAGGAGGGGAAGACGATTGAGATGCACCCTCTCTGAGTTGTAACAGGAAACGTGTCTGGTGTTGATGAGTAACCTGCTATGATGTGGAAATTACTGAACAATGACAGCGTCTCAGGGGAGAGTGTATGTGAGAAGGGGAGGCTTCTGTAGCCATAACTTAGTGTTGCAACATGTAACTTCATTTACCGTCTTGTTAGTGTGACTGGTGTATGGAGATCCACACCTACATAACCTAAGCTATTCAAAGCTAGCCTAGCGTTAGCTAACATTTTTATTGAAGCTTAAAGGGTCAGTTCTGTATTAGCCGGTAGCTCCTATCCGTTTCATGTTAACCAATATGAAAAGCCCAATATATCTCAGTGTATGCTACTGTTGGGTGTCAGCGGCGCTCCCTTCCCTGGCTGTATATCGGTCTTTAATGTGTGTGTAAATCCAGCTGCATAGTTGAGAGAGCCAGGCCTGCTCTGTGTCTGGGTCTGGGAGTGATGTTAGGCAGGGAGGGAGGCAGGCAGGCAGGGAGAGAGTCCTCGCTCTGCTTCTCAGAGCTTCCGTCAGCTGGGGAGGGAACCTACTCAATGAGGCAAGTCCTGGAGGGATCAGGGAGGGGGAGTGAATAGGGGAGGGGTTTGGGGGCCGAGGAGAATCGGGGGAGTAGGTAGGGTGTCGTCAGAGAGGATTAGGGTAGTGGTTTGGAGAGTGGGTGGGGTTTGAAGAGAGGTGCAGGGTTTAGAGTGTACAGTTTAGGGTGGAGTGGTGATAGGGGGGTGGTGTGTGGGAGGACATTCAGACTCAGCCATGATTCATACTGTCCCCCACCCAACTCCCGCCCCCATCCTACCACACCCAAATCACAGTCAAAGTAAAGCTTCTCTCTACATGTCATCGATGTCTCAAATCAGGAAACCAAGTGTTTGTTTCTTGAACTTCAGGAATGTGACTGAAAAAGTGCCTCAGGCCTTGAAAAAGAAAAAAAGAAACTGATTGAAGGAGATATCATCTTGCAACGTGGTCTTAGATCATTTTGTATTGTTCTGTACGTAAATCCGAGACACATAAAAACATAAATGCAACATGCAACAATTTCAAAGATTTTACTGAGTTAGAGTTCATATAAGGAAATCGGCCCTAATCTATGGATTTCACATGACTGGGAATACAGATATGCAAAAGGTAGGGGCAGGGCCTCCCGAGTGGCGCAGTGGTCTAAGGCAATGCACTGCATCACAGTGCTTGAGGCGTCACTACAGACCCGGATTTGATCCCAGGCTGTGTCACAACTGGCCGAGACCGGGAGTCCCGTAGGGCGGCGCACACTTGGCCCAGCGTCGTCCTGGTAAGGGGAGGGTTTGGCCGGAGGGGCTTTACTTGGCTCATCGCGCTCTAACGTTCCGGGCGCATGCAGGCTGACATCGGTCGTCAGTTGAACAGTGTTACCACTGACACGTTGGTGCGGCTAGTGGGCGGGTGTTAAGGAGCGCGGTTTACCGGGTCATGTTTCGGAGGATGCATGACTCGACCTTCGCCTCTCCTGAGCCCGTTGGGGAGTTGCAGTGACGAGACAAGATTGTAATTGGGGAGAAAAAGGGGGTGAAAACAAAAAAATTACCCCAAAAAAACGCAGCGCAACGCAACCCAACACTTACCTACCAGTTCATGCGAACGGTGTCCATTTCGGCATCACTCTTCCACCTTTCAAAATGAATTCCAATGTTTATCAGATTTCTGGTCATGAGCAGTCTTTTTCTTGCTTCTTTTTCTCTTTTGGGGTCAAGTTGATTCTGATCCAAGAACCGAGAATGGTGCTTGTTGCTGTCGACATTTTCTGAAAATGTTGTCCTTGCAACCCAAACTGTTTATCTGCAAACAAGTTAGCTAGCTAGTGACTTCCACCCCAGAGCCATGACTAAGTAAAGGTTGTTTGAGTAGGTGGGATTTCACGCGGATTCCATCTTTAATTTGAGCCAGTTTGCTACAGCAGGAAAGTAATCCTACTGCAATGTAGATTATAATGAATTTACATTTTTGTAGGGGTTGATACATTTTTCGTAAGGGAAAATTAAATCTGAAATTTCAAAGTGGAAATTACAAACTTCAGAAGCCTTCTTAAACCTCAAATACACGACAAGTTTTACATTTCCTGCATTGCAGGAAAGTTATACTGCAACAGGGTGATCAAATGAAGATCCTACATCTGTAATTGAATGGGGAAGATTTGCACAATGTCATTACATCTAATTAGTTGGTGCCAATCTTTCCTATTCATTTGGCCTGCAGATTTATCCCAATGCATGTGATGTGGGGTTTACACAACAGATGGTATAGATTAGAATATGGATTTGACTTCAGACGACTGTTGAGGTATGAACATTTCCACTAGACTGATTGGGACGTTTCTTGTTGTTTAACTGCGGTGAGAGAAATGGATAAATAAACATTCATTAATTCAGTTAGTGATTTGAACCCTTTCTTTCCATTCTTCCTGTGTCTGGCTAGGATGAGATCGAGAAGGAATAGACAGACATTGTGACATAAAAGAGACCAGGAAGTAGGCTACACATGGGGGCCAACTGGTCACATCCTTTCATTTACTGGAAATTCAAATAAAACCACAAGGGATTATTAACTCCTTCCTCCCACCCCCCTCAGGCAGTATGCTGCCAGGGGTGTGCTGTGTGTGTGTGTGTGTGGACTGTGTGTGTGTATCTTTACGTGTGTGTATATGTCAGTATATTAACCCTCTTCTCTGCTCTCTCCCAAGTATGGTGTCCAGTCTGAGCGCGTGGTTCTGGAATGAGCGGCTGTGGTTCCCTGAGGGGCTGGGCTGGGCTGACCTGGAGGACAAAGATGGCCGTGTCTACGCCAAGGCCAGAGACCTCTGGGTGGCGCTACCCATCGCCGTAGCCTTCCTCGTAATACGACAGATCTTCGAGAGGTACGTCTGTCCGTCTGTCTGTTTGGCTGGCTGGCTGACTGTCATCCCTCATAAGCTAAATGCTCTGCCTCTTTCACCCGTCTGTCTACATGTGTTTTATACCTCTTCTTTCTACTCTTCTTCTTCCTTTCCTATGCCTCTCCCTCTTCTCCCCCCTCCTCCACGTGCTCCACCCTTTTTCTCCTTCCCTCCCTCCCATCTCATCCCTCTCTCCCCTCCTCTCTGTGTGGGCAGGTTAGTGGCCACTCCCCTGGCTGCTGTCATGGGGGTGAAGGAGAAAGTTAGGCTCACAGTGTCACACAACCCCACACTGGAGTCATTCTACTGTAACACAACCAAGAACCCCACACAGGTAACACAACTAGAAATGACTACACACGCGCACGCAAGCACAGAGACACATGTACGCACGCACACGTTAACACTACACAATTGCTACAGATCTTAATTTGTTCACTTTTGTTGCAAAAAACATTCTGCACAGCAGGAAATGCAAACTTGTAGTGTTTTTGAGTTTTAAAAAGGCTTCTAAAGTTTGTCATTTCAGACTTGGTTTGCCCTAACGAAAAATGTATCAACCCCTACACAAATGTCCATCCACCTAATAATTCACATTTCCTGTTGCTGCAGAATAATTTTCCTGCTGTAGCAAACTGACTCAAATTAAGGTCCTACATCTGTATACAGCACCACACAAATCATTATGCTAAACTGGATCCCCTTCTACCCTTCTGTCTCTCTCTCCCGCTCTCCCGCTCTCCTACAGAGTTCTATAGACAGCCTGTGTAAGCAGACAGGTTGTTCAGAGAGACAGGTGCAGAGATGGTTCAGGAGACGCAGGAACCAGGACCGACCCAGTCTACTGAAGAAGTTCAAAGAGGCCAGGTACACACAACACACATATACACACACACACACAAATATCCACATGCATACAGACACCCACACATGAACACACACACACAAAACAAGATAACAAAACAACAGCTTCACAAACAGCTGCTCTAATCAAATCAGCACATGTCTGCGTGTAAAAGCATGAGTCTATTTACAGTATATCTGACACTCATTATATTGCCAGCCTGGTTTTATCAAGGCTGCTCCTACCCCCAGGGCCACACACACATACATACATACACACACACACACACACACACACACACACACACACACACACACACACACACATACACACACTGCCCGCCCCTCGCTCCCTCACCAGTCCCAGGAGACAGTTTGGCCCTATCAGCAGAATCAGTTTATATCCAAGCAGTGTGTGTCATTGTTATAGGACTGAGACAATGACTGTGTTACACTAATACTGAGATCACTACATGAGACAGCGCCCTAAGCCAGAACTACTGACAGACAGCAGCCTCTTATAGAAGACTGGCCTCTCATTCTGTTATGTGTATGGTACATGGTAATGCGCTACTGTTTAATATAGGATCCCAAATCAATTATGCGATTATGCGTCATTCCTTGATAATGTCCAGTAGCCATTGTAGAGCATGATACCTGTATCTGCAGTTCTGTGTCTTAGAATATGTAGATAACAAGTGTAGATAACAACCTGTAGTTAATATCACAATCACTAGTGTAGATAACAACCTGTAGTTAATATCACAATCACTAGTGTAGATAACAACCTGTAGTTAATATCACAATCACTAGTGTAGATAACAACCTGTAGTTAATATCACAATCACTAGTGTAGATAACAACCTGTAGTTAATATCACAATCACTAGTGTAGATAACAACCTGTAGTTAATATCACAATCACTAGTGTAGATAACAACCTGTAGTTAATATCACAATCACTAGTGTAGATAACAACCTGTAGTTAATATCACAATCACTAGTGTAGATAACAACCTGTAGTTAATATCACAATCACTAGTGTAGATAACAACCTGTAGTTAATATCACAATCACTAGTGTAGATAACAACCTGTAGTTAATATCACAATCACTAGTGTAGATAACAACCTGTAGTTAATATCACAATCACTAGTGTAGATAACAACCTGTAGTTAATATCACAATCACTAGTGTAGATAACAACCTGTAGTTAATATCACAATCACTAGTGTAGATAACAACCTGTAGTTAATATCACAATCACTAGTGTAGATAACAACCTGTAGTTAATATCACAATCACTAGTGTAGATAACAACCTGTAGTTAATATCACAATCACTAGTGTAGATAACAACCTGTAGTTAATATCACAATCACTAGTGGCAACATCATATCATCATGTCATTATCATCATCATTACATCTAAAATTCACACAGATGATTCTCATGAGATTATGGATGTGATTTGTATTGAGACGGTATTCTCTGTGTGTACCCCAAGAGTTCAGTCTGTGTGTGTGTGTGTGTGTGCGTGTGCGTGCGTGCGTGTATTGTTAGTTGTTAATGGTGTGTATCACTGTGTGTGTATTGCGACATCCCTGTCCTGAATCAATCTAGTGTTTATCTTCACACAACAGCCTCACTGTCCCTCTCTCTCTCTTTGTCTCTCTGTCTCTCTCTTTCTCACACTGCGGTATCCTACTCTCTCTCAGCCTTCTATCTCCTTCCACTTCATCTCTCTCTCCCTTATTCCCCTGCTGAGTGTATTATTTCTCTTTATCTCTTCCTTTCTTTCACCTCCTCATCCTCCTATATCTGTAGTCAGCTGGTTGTTGTTGTACAGTACTGGAGGTCTATATCTGTAGTCAGCAGGTTGTTGTGTTGTACAGTACTGGAGGTCTCTCTCTGTAGTCAGCAGGTTGTTGTGTTGTACAGTACTGGAGGTCTCTATCTGTAGTCAGCAGGTTGTTGTGTTGTATAGTACTGGAGGTCTCTATCTGTAGTCAGCAGGTTGTTGTGTTGTACAGTACTGGAGGTCTCTATCTGTAGTCAGCAGGTTGTTGTGTTGTACAGTACTGGAGGTCTCTATCTGTAGTCAGCAGGTTGTTGTGTTGGACAGTACTGGAGGTCTATATCTGTAGTCAGCTGGTTGTTGTTGTACAGTACTGGAGGTCTCTATCTGTAGTCAGCAGGTGGTTGTGTTGGACAGTACTGGAGGTCTATATCTGTAGTCAGCTGGTTGTTGTTGTACAGTACTGGAGGTCTCTATCTGTAGTCAGCAGGTTGTTGTGTTGTACAGTACTGGAGGTCTCTATCTGTAGTCAGCAGGTTGTTGTGTTGTATAGTACTGGAGGTCTATATCTGTAGTCAGCAGGTTGTTGTGTTGTACAGTACTGGAGGTCTCTATCTGTAGTCAGCAGGTTGTTGTGTTGTATAGTACTGGAGGTCTCTCTCTGTAGTCAGCAGGTTGTTGTGTTGTACAGTACTGGAGGTCTCGCTCTGTATTCAGGAGGTTGTTGTTGTACAGTACTGGAGGTCTCTATCTGTAGTCAGCAGGTTGTTGTGTTGTACAGTACTGGAGGTCTCTATCTGTAGTCAGCAGGTTGTTGTGTTGTACAGTACTGGAGGTCTCTATTTGTAGTCAGCAGGTTGTTGTTGTACAGTACCGGAGGTCTCTATTTGTAGTCAGCAGGTTGTTGTTGTACAGTACCGGAGGTCTCTATTTGTAGTCAGCAGGTTGTTGTTGTACAGTACCGGAGGTCTCTATTTGTAGTCAGCAGGTTGTTGTGTTGTACAGTACTGGAGGTCTCTATCTGTAGTCAGCAGGTTGTTGTGTTGTACATTACTGGAGGTCTCGCTCTGTATTCAGGAGGATGTTGTTGTATAGTACTGGAGGTCTCTCTCTGTAGTCAGCAGGTTGTTGTTGTGTTGTACAGTACTGGAGGTCTCGCTCTGTATTCAGGAGGTTGTTGTTGTACAGTACTGGAGGTCTCTCTCTGTAGTCAGCAGGTTGTTGTGTTGTACAGTACTGGAGGTCTCTCTCTGTAGTCAGCAGGTTGTTGTGTTGTACAGTACTGGAGGTCTCTATCTGTAGTCAGCAGGTTGTTGTGTTGTACAGTACTGGAGGTCTCTATCTGTAGTCTGCAGGTTGTTGTGTTGTATAGTACTGGAGGTCTATATCTGTAGTCAGCAGGTTGTTGTGTTGTACAGTACTGGAGGTCTCTCTCTGTAGTCAGCAGGTTGTTGTGTTGTACAGTACTGGAGGTCTCTCTCTGTAGTCAGCAGGTTGTTGTGTTGTACAGTACTGGAGGTCTCTATCTGTAGTCAGCAGGTTGTTGTGTTGTACAGTACTGGAGGTCTCTATCTGTAGTCAGCAGGTTGTTGTTGGACAGTACTGGAGGTCTATATCTGTAGTCAGCAGATTGTTGTGTTGTACAGTACTGGAGGTCTCTATCTGTAGTCAGCAGGTTGTTGTTGTACAGTACTGGAGGTCTCTATCTGTAGTCAGCAGGTTGTTGTGTTGTACAGTACTGGAGGTCTCTATCTGTAGTCAGCAGGTTGTTGTGTTGTACAGTACTGGAGGTCTCTATCTGTAGTCAGCAGGTTGTTGTGTTGTACAGTACTGGAGGTCTCTCTCTGTAGTCAGCAGGTTGTTGTGTTGTACAGTACTGGAGGTCTCTATCTGTAGTCAGCAGGTTGTTGTGTTGTACAGTACTGGAGGTCTCTATCTGTAGTCAGCAGGTTGTTGTGTTGTATAGTACTGGAGGTCTCTATCTGTAGTCAGGAGGATGTTGTTGTACAGTACTGGAGGTATCTCTCTGTAGTCAGCAGGTTGTTGTTGTACAGTACTGGAGGTCTCGCTCTGTATTCAGGAGGTTGTTGTTGTATAGTACTGGAGGTATCTCTCTGTAGTCAGCAGGTTGTTGTTGTACAGTACTGGAGGTCTCTCTCTGTAGTCAGCTGGTTGTTGTTGGACAGTACTGGAGGTCTCTCTCTGTAGTCAGCAGGTTGTTGTGTTGTACAGTACTGGAGGTCTCTATCTGTAGTCAGCAGGTTGTTGTTGTATAGTACTGGAGGTCTCTATCTGTAGTCAGCAGGTTGTTGTTGTACAGTACTGGAGGTCTCTCTCTGTAGTCAGCAGGTTGTTGTGTTATACAGTACTGGAGGTCTCTATCTGTAGTCAGCAGGTTGTTGTGTTGTACAGTACTGGAGGTCTCTCTCTGTAGTCAGCAGGTTGTTGTGTTATACAGTACTGGAGGTCTCTATCTGTAGTCAGCAGGTTGTTGTGTTGTACAGTACTGGAGGTCTCTCTCTGTAGTCAGCAGGTTGTTGTGTTATACAGTACTGGAGGTCTATATCTGTAGTCAGCAGATTGTTGTTGTATAGTACTGGAGGTCTCTCTCTGTAGTCAGCAGGTTGTTGTTGTACAGTACTGGAGGTCTCTCTCTGTAGTCAGCAGGTTGTTGTGTTATACAGTACTGGAGGTCTCTATCTGTAGTCAGCAGGTTGTTGTGTTATACAGTACTGGAGGTCTCTCTGTATTCAGCAGGTTGTTGTGTTGTACAGTACTGGAGGTCTCTATCTGTAGTCAGCAGGTTGTTGTGTTGTACAGTACTGGAGGTCTCTCTCTGTAGTCAGCAGGTTGTTGTGTTATACAGTACTGGAGGTCTCTCTGTATTCAGCAGGTTGTTGTGTTGTACAGTACTGGAGGTCTCTCTCTGTGTGACAGAACTGGGAGGCTACTGTATGACTGTTCCCATTGTGTGCTGGGAAGTTGGCACGGGACTGTTCTACAGTAGCCGTGTGTGTTTATATGTGTGTCCTGATTTGACATTCTCAGCATAGGAGATGAGATTGGTCTGCGCATCAGGGCCTGCACGATACCAGCTTATACTTCCCCTACTTTCAAGCAAAGTGTGTGTGGTGTCTTCACCCTACCCTAGTAGAATGCGTATATCTCCCTGTGTGCATGTATGTATGTTCTGTTTACTGTACATATAGCATAACGTGTGTGTGTGTGTGTGTGTTGTCCAATGATTTCCCCCTACAGTTTAGCAGAATGTGTGTATGTGCATGTTATCTTTACTGTACATATAGCATAAAGTCTGTGCGTGTGTTGTCCAATGATTTTGTGTGTTCTCTTGCAGTTGGAGATTCACCTTTTACCTTTTTGCTTTCATTGCTGGCCTGGCTGCCCTCGTCGACGTGAGTACTGCTGTTTCACCTTTGACCTTTAAATTAAAGTGTAACAGGATACTAAGATAGAATAGAAGCCTTGTGAACAGCAGTGCTGGTTATATCAGGGACAACTGAGTATAAAATGTAATGTTTTTATAACATGATTAATAAAGAACTTACGAATGACACCGGAAGAGAATTATAAAGCCAAATTAATATATAGAGTGAAAATGATTTATCACTTCTTCTGTTTCAATGCTGTATTTCTCTGTGACTGAAATTAGAACTGTCCAATTTATGTATGCCTCTCTCTTTCTCTCAGAAACCCTGGCTGTATGACTTTAAGGAGATGTGGCAGGGCTTCCCTATTCTGGTATGTCCCTCTGGTTATTGATGAGTGGTAACTAATACATTGTAACATAGGAAAGTCATTGGAAGGCATAAATCATAATCAATCATATCATGTTATGTCCAGTGTTTGACTGTGTTCAGACAGCATATTATGGAAGTGTCAATGTATGTTATTGATATTATCTTGCTCTTTCTCTCTCTCTCCCCCCTATTTTCTCCCCATCCCATCTCTCTCTCCATCCCTCCATCTCTCATCTCTCCCCCAGACTCTCCTGCCGTCTCAGTATTGGTACTATATGATAGAGCTGGGTTTCTACGGCTCTCTAATCTTTAGTGTGGCGTCAGATGTCAAACGGAAAGTAAGTGTGCACCATGCCTGCTCTATAAAACACACTATGCTTGTAACAATCAAGTATACAGTATACAAATGAACCACTAAAAATGGTGGTACAGAATCCCTTTACTTACAGTCCTATTCACTTTAAGAGTCAGTCAATTACAGCACGCAGATCATCCAAATATTCTTCCATACAGGGGGAGTAGAGTTTACAATATCAGGGATAGTGGTTAACCAAGCCTGCACACTCTGTTAGCTACAAGTGATTCATTGAAAGCAGTAAGCAAGTCTTTCCGATCACTTTCCTGCTGTTGGCATGGTGTTGACTTTGTGCTGACGACCAGGGGTTACTGTCATGGCACTGATGACAGTGTCAGTGTGTATAGGGACAGGGGGCAGGGGGCTACTGCAGGAGGTGGACATTAGACTGATATGACGTGTTTGTGTGTGTGGAGCCGGAGGTTTAAAGGGGAGTTTGTCAGTGGACTCTGCTCCACTAGGGCAGGTCAGTACAGACAGCATGTACAGTACCAGTCAAAAGTTTGGACACACCTACTCATTCAAAGGTTTTTATTTTTACTATTTTCTACATTGTAGAATAATAGTGAAGACATCAAAACTATGAAATAACACATATGGAATCATGTAGTAACCAAAAAAGTGTTAAACAAATCAGAATATTGTGATGAGGTGGTGTTGAAGCAACGACCAGGATGGTGGTGTTACCTTGGGAGAGGGGAAGATCAGTTAGAAAATCCACACTTAGGTGAGACCATGGTCGTTGTGGAACTGGTAAAGGTTGTAACTTACCAGCTGGGAGGTGCCTGAAATGCGATCTCCCTCCATCTCCACACCTGAGGTGGAAATGTGGTATCCAAGGAAGGAGACGGACTGCTGGAAAAACATACACTTCTCTGCCTTAGCATAAAGGTAATTTTCCAACAGTCGGGCCAGCACCTTGCGAACCAGGGATACATGCTCGGCACGCGTAGCGGAATACACCATGATGTCATCGATGAAACACCTCGTTCACAAAGGACTGGAAAACTGAAGGAGCATTCATCAAACCATAGGGCATCACCAGGTATTCATAATGCCCCGTGGTTGTGCTGAATGCTGTCTTCCACTCATCTCCTTCTCGGATACGTACCAGGTTGTACGCACTCCTGAGATCTAATTTGGTAAAGAAGCGCGCCCCATGCATTGATTCAATCACTGAAGGAATGAGGGGGAGAGGATAACTAAATCTTATCGTCTCCCTGTTCAGTGGTCGATAATCAATGCACGGGCGCAGACCTCCGTCCTTCTTCTTCACAAAGAAGAAACTCGAGGAGGCGGTTGAAGTGGAGGGACGTATATATCCCTGGCGCAGGGACTCGGTGACATATATCTCCATAGCCACCGTTTCAGCCTGTGACGGGGTATATATGACTCCTGGGAGGTACAGCGTCTACCCGGAGGTTTATCGCGCAATCCCCCGCCCGATGAGGTCATAACTTAGTCGCCTGCGTTTTAGAGAACGCTTGCGCCAGATCGAGGTAGTCAGGGGGAATGTGCACGGTGGAGGTACTGTCTGGACTTTCCACCGTAGTTGCACCAACGGCAACACCTAGACACCTATCCTGACACTCTCGCGACCACCCCGTGAGAACCCTCTGCGGCCATGAGAAGGTGGGGTTGTGGAGTGCTAGCCAAGGGATACCTAATACCACAGGGAAAGCAGGAGACTCAATGATGGAAAAAGTAACCTGCTCACAATTAGTCTCCTCGGTAATCATGGTGACTGGTGCAGTAAATTCCTTAACCAACCCGGACCCTAATGGTCGACTATCAAGTGCTCTGATTGGGCGTGGAATGGATAGGGGAATCAATGGAATGCCTATACGGTGTGCGAATGCCCTGTCCATAAAGTTCCCAGCTGTGCCTGAATCGACTAGCGCCTTACACTGGGGAACTACCATGTGCTCAGGAAAGGAGATGTGTATTTTACAGTGCGCAGCAGAGGGCTCTGAACGAGTGTGGGTGTTCGATACCTGGGGTGATGCGAGAGTGCCCTGCCTGCCACCTCCAAACCCAGAAGAGCATTGACGAAAACGTGTGGTGAAATGTCCCTTCGCGCCACCAGTGTGGCATTGGCGCTGTCGTCCTCCGCTCTCTCGGCTAGCGGTTCCACCAATCTCCATCCATTCTGGATCCGAGTCGGCCGGGATGGAAACGGGCAGACCTCCTCCAGGACGTCCTCTGGTTGCCAGCAGGTTGTCCAAACGAATGGCCATGTCCACCAGTTGCGAGAAGGACATGGTGTCACGGCAGGCTAGCTCCCGTCGGACGACCTCTCGCAGATGACACCAGAAATGGTCGATCAGGGCCCGCTAGTTCCACCCGGACCCAGCTACCAGAGTTCAAAACTCCAATGCGAAGTCCTGCGCAGTCCTCGTCCCCTGCCTCAGGTGGACCAGCCACTCGTCCACCTCTCGACCCTCGGGCGGGTGATCGAAGACCGCCCGGAAGAGGCGCGCGAACTCCCCGTAGTTCTCCAACGCGGCTCCTCCTTCGTTCCACACCGCATTGGCCCACTCCAAGGCTTTCCCCGAGAGGCAGGAGACGAGGGCGGACACCCTCTCCCGCTCTGATGGGACCGGCCGGATGCTGGAGAAGTAGAGCTCCAGTTGGAGAAGGAATCCTTCGGCACAGCGCCGCTGTCCCGTCGAACTCCCATGGTCGGGATATCTGGATCCCTCCGGGTGCTGGGGTGTAGGTGGCGGGATCCGGTTGGCCAGCTGGTCTCGACGGATCGGGCTTTCTCCTCTCCAGGCGTTGGACGACCTGAAGAACCCGATCCATCGCTTCACCCAAGCTGGCTAGCATAGTTGAATGCTCCTGGACCTGTTCCACAACTCCAGGCATGCGCGTCTCTCCCGCTGACTCCATATCGGGTGGGTGATTCTGTGGTGAGGTGGTGTTGAAGGAGTCAGGCGCAGGAGGGTAAATCACATCCTCCACAAGGAGAGCCAGTTTCATCATAGCGCATGATGGTTGTTGCGACTGCACTTGAAGAAACTTTAAAAGTTATTGAAATGTTCCAGATTGACTGACCTTCATGTCTTAAAGTAATGATGGACTGTCGTTTCTCTTTGCTTATTTGAGCTGTTCTTGCCATAATATGGACTTGGTCTTTTACCAAATAGGGCTATCTTCTGTATACCCCCCCTACCTTGTCACAACACTACTGATTGGCTCAAATGCATTAAGAAGAAAATAAATTCCACAAATTAACTTTTAAGAAGGCACACCTGTTAATTGAAATGCATTTCAGGTGACTACCTCATGAAGCTGGTTGAGAGAATGCCAAGTGTGCAAAGCTGTCATCAAGGCAAAGGGTGGCTATTTGAAGAATTTCAAATATAAAATATATTTTGATTCGTTTGACACTTCTTTGGTTACTACAGTGAGGGAAAAAAGTATTTGATCCCATGCTGATTTTGTACGTTTGCCCACTGACAAAGAAATGATCAGTCTATAATTTTAATGGTAGGTTTATTTCAACAGTGAGAGACAGAATAACAACAAAAAAATCCAGAAAAACTCATGTCAAAAATGTTATAAATTGATTTGCATTTTAATGAGGGAAATAAGTATTTGACCCCCTCTCAATCAGAAAGATTTCTGGCTCCCAGGTGTCTTTTATACAGGTAATGAGCTGAGATTAGGAGCACACTCTTAAAGGGAGTGCTCCTAATCTCAGTTTGTTACCTGTATAAAAGACACCTGTCCACAGAAGCAATCAATCAATCAGATTCCAAATTCTCCACCATGGCCAAGACCAGGGACAAGATTGTAGACCTACACAAGGCTGGAATGGGCTACAAGACCATCGCCAAGCAGCTTGGTGAGAAGGTGACAACAGTTGGTGCGATTATTTGCAAATGGAAGAAACACAAAATAACTGTCAATCTCCCTCGGCCTGGGGCTCCATGCAAGATCTCACCTCGTGGAGTTGCAATGATCATGAGAACGGTGAGGAATCAGCCCAGAACTACACGGGAGGATCTTGTCAATGATCTCAAGGCAGCTGGGACCATAGTCACCAAGAAAACAATTGGTAACACACTACGCCGTGAAGGACAGAAATCCTGCAGCGCCCGCAAGGTCCCCCTGCTCAAGAAAGCACATATACAGGCCCGTCTGAAGTTTGCCAATGAACATCTGAATGATTCAGAGGAGAACTGGGTGAAAGTGTTGTGGTCAGATGAGACCAAAATCGAGCTCTTTGGCATCAACTCAACTCGCCGTGTTTGGAGGAGGAGGAATGCTGCCTATGACCCCAAGAACACCATCCCCACCGTCAAACATGGAGGTGGAAAGATTATGCTTTGGGGGTGTTTTTCTGCTAAGGGGACAGGACAACTTCACCGCATCAAAGGGATGATGGACGGGGCCATGTACCGTCAAATCTTGGGTGAGAACCTCCTTCCCTCAGCCAGGGCATTGAAAATGGGTCGTGGATGGGTATTTCAGCATGACAATGACCCAAAACACACGGCCAAGGCAACAAAGGAGTGGCTCAAGAAGAAGCACATTAAGGTCCTGGAGTGGCCTAGCCAGTCTCCAGACCTTAATCCCATAGAAAATCTGTGGAGGGAGCTGAAGGTTCGAGTTGCCAAACGTCAGCCTCGAAACCTTAATGACTTGGAGAAGATCTGCAAAGAGGAGTGGGACAAAATCCCTCCTGAGATGTGTGCAAACCTGGTGGCCAACTACAAGAAACGTCTGACCTCTGTGATTGCCAACAAGGGTTTTGCCACCAAGTACTAAGTAATGTTTTGCAGAGGGGTCAAATACTTATTTTTCTACAAATCAATTTATAACATTTTTGACATGCGTTTTTCTGGATTTTTGTTTTGTTATTCTGTCTCTCACTGTTCAAATAAACATACGATTACAATTATAGACTGATCATGTCTTTGTCAGTGGGCAAACGTACAAAATCAGCAGGGGATCAAATACTTTTTTCCCTCACTGTACATGATTCCATATGTGTTATTTCACAGTTTTGATGTCTTCACTATTATTCTACAATGTACAAAATTGTACAAATAAAGAAAAACCCTTGAATGAGTAGGTGTGTCCAAACTTTTGGCTGTTAGCCCCTCTGCCATGATTTACTATAGTGTGTGTGTGCGTGTATGTGTGTGTGCGCACGTGCATGCGTGCAGTTGTGTGTGTGTGTGTGTGTGAAGGAACAGAATGTTATCATGTTATCAAGGTAACAAAACACAACCTCTAACCTCCTCTCTCTCTCTTTCCTTCCATCTTTCTCTCCCTCCCTTTCTCTCTGTAGGACTTTAAGGAGCAGATGGTTCACCATATGGCCACCATCTTCCTCATCAGTTTCTCCTGGTGTGTCAACTACATCAGAGCGGGCACGCTCATCATGCTGCTGCACGACTCCTCCGACTATTTACTGGAGGTACAACCAATTACAGCGGAGCTGGGTCACCGACATAACATGATAATAATATCACTGCCATGATATGATAATAATATGGTGATTTAGTAGTTGCTGTTATCAAAAACAACTTACAGTTATCACATGTAGTTTGTATGTGGGGCCCACAGGGGAATCACCCACAAGGAAATCCCATTTTATTTGATAAACCAAGAAGTGTGGTCCTCTGTAGCTCAGCTGGTAGAGCACGGCGCTTGTAACGCCAAGGTAGTGGGTTCGATCCCCGGGACCACCCATACACAAAAATGTATGCACGCATGACTCTAAGTCGCTTTGGATAAAAGCGTCTGCTAAATGGCATATTATTATTTTTATTATTATAAGTGGACAAAGTACTGCTGATATTGGAGAAGAGGAGATATGGAAAGATTTAGTACTGTCACCTGGTGGAAAAGATATGACATTACAACTATTCTAACAACAACCTTTCTCTATCTCTCTCTCCCCCTCTATCTCTCTGACAGTCTGCTAAGATATTCATCTATGCTGGATGGAGAAACACCAGTAACTACGTCTTCTTCCTCTTCGCTACCGTCTTCATCTTCACTAGACTCTATATCTTCCCCTTCTAGTGAGAAGACAACTGCACACTCCCACCACACACCAATGATCTAACTCTCTCACACCAATTCTGATTAGCATCATAAATGTCTGTTAATTGTCTGTTAGTTGTTACTGATGTTATCCTCTCTTTTTGCCCCCCCCCACCCCCACCCCTCTCTCTCTCTCTCTCAGCATCATTTATGCTACGTACGTTTATCCATTGACTATGTACTCTCCATTCTTTGGATACTACTTCCTGAATGTCCTTATGATGGTGCTGCAGTGTCTACATATCTTCTGGGCCATCCTCATTCTGCGTATGGCTGTCCGCTTCCTGAGCAGCGATGTATGTACACACACATCCTGACAACACTGCACACACAATCCAGTGTATCTTTGTTTGTCTTGTATGTGAGAGAGAAGTGAATATGTGGGAAACAGATGTAGAGACCTAGAGAGACTGGGAGCGGAGGGGTGGGTGGAGGAGAGAGAAAGTTTATTTAGAAATCACGAATTGATATGTGTTGGAAAGCCCAGCTGATAAAGAGCAGAAGTCGGGTTTGGATCCAGTTTGGGGAAAGGAAAATTAATGTCTCTGGACAGATGACCTATTTCTAAACACACCTCTCTTTCCCTCCTTCCTTTTGCTTCAGGAAAAGGTAGAGGACGAGAGGAGCGATAAAGAAGAGACGGACGAGTCAGGGGAGGAAGAGGAGGAGGTGAAGAAGAAAGGCGCTGTGCAGAACGGTGACGCCACTCACAACAACCACCGCAAGACAGAGTAATGAAAATGTGTGCGAGGAAGTAAGAGTGGGAAGAATTCACATCCCTCACTCAGCAGAGGGGGAGAGATGGAGTGAAGGGAAAATGGATGAGGGAGAGGGTGGTAGGGAAAATGGATGAGGGAGAAGGAAAGGTATTCCTAAAGCCTGAGAACTCTATGTAGACCTGTACCTGTGGCTACACTACACTACATTATAAACACTCAATCACACACATGCACTCACACACAATTTTGGATATACTACATTAACTGGCATGGACCTGTTGTTATAGTCCATTAACACACACACACACGGGTCATTCTCACGAAACTGTAAAAAAAAAAAAAAAAAAACATTCTCAAGTGTCATTTTTCAGGAAATGTCCTCTTGAATCACGGAGATTAGGATCTGTACTTATCTATTTCATAATTATTGTTTTTTAAATCAGATATTATGCATTTTAACGACATTTTCACAAAATTGTCATTACCGTAAGTTTTTTAAGTAAAAAAAAAAAGGTAATAAATCAATATTTATAATATTTTTTTACATTGCTCCCCTAATGAAAAGGCCTGAGTTAAACAAACAAAACACTGAAAATAAAAATATTTTAAATGAAAATATAAAATTACTATAAAATTAAATCAGACTTTTTCCCAATTTGAGTTCTTTAGCTGTTTTGGTAATGAGAAGGCCAAGTGGGGTAAAGGGGGTGTTTGAGAACAAGAACCTCATTCTGAAGGTATATAAGCGAATACATTTACTTAACTTGTGCTCATCTAAGGACTACTCCTCTAGATGATGCATCATGGGTAAATAAAACTTTCTTTAAAAACTGAGTTTTACAGGAACTTGAAAACGTTTTATGGTAATGAGACATGTCCACAGACACTGTACGTAATAAATATTATAGTTTAATGTAAACTTCAACTAGTATATGATTTATGAACAAACTACAGCAACATATTTTGTTTTATTCAAATAAGTTAGATTTTTATAAAGATGTATTTTTATAAAATGACCCGAGAATTGAATCCGGATGCATTTTCCCTAAACAGATGCTTCATGGTTTTGTAACTCAATTTGCTACAGACATTTTAAAACTGGTTTCATGAGAATCACCCACAACCACACACACACACACTAATAACTCGGCTAAGGAATAGCATTGGGAACGTCACAGTGTGATTTCAGTTCCTCGGATGGTTGGCCCTCTAAAATAATGTTAAAAAGGATGTGAAAGGAAGAGAGGACAGAGTGATGAGAATGAAAGGAAGGAGAGAAGGAAGAGGAGAAAGAGAGAGTGTGATGCTGCTTCTACTATAGCGCTTCTTACTGTGCACACTGCCTTACAGCCAGACTATGGGTGCGTTTACCTTATTTTATTTTTCAGTTACCTTGTTGTTGCTCAATCTGCGATAAGCATGTTTTGTCCAATACTCCAGTTGCCACGAAAGACAGACTTTAGAAAAGAGACACGACGAGATTTAACCTGACACACAAAAACACAATCATGTGAATGTGTCCTTGTGTGAGTGTTGATTTGGAGCACCAGGCAGGGAGCTGACGTTCAGATTCGGCGGCCCTGGTTTTTATGATTCTATGCAATTATGTTTTTTCTGCTGTAGTGCATCTTAATGGGATGCCTTCAACGTTGTTTGTGACACCTCTAAGCTTGTAAAACCCATTCAGTAAGATTGTGAGGGAGTCGGGTTGTGTCCCTCACTAGTAGCATGGGTTTAAATACTGCACTGTATGGACCTTGATTTGAGGGCCTGTTTATAAACTGCTTAATTGAATGGTTAATGAACAATGTAATGTGTATAACTGGTTAATAAACTATGTAATCATGTTTATAAGCAGCTTATAAGCAGACTTTCAAATTAAGTGTTAAATCGTTTTTTTGGTATATTAAGATTCTGCAGATTTTTAATGATGCTTTCCTTCCTTTGCTGATGTCATCATCATGTGCCAATGGTAACTTTCTGTCTGTAGACACTCTCCGTTGACATTGGAGAGGAAAATACTTTTTATCAAACCATTTTTATAATGTTTTCGCTCTGTATGTGTGTGAATAATTCAGTATATCTTCTGAATGTCATTGACATCTTACCAGGGTCACACAGGCAGAACTTTATTTTCAGTATATTTCAATAGTTTTTGCTATATTATTTTTTGCCCTTTGTACATTAAAGGTAAAAAAAAACAGTCCAGCCAGTCAGGATCCCAAATAGAATAATTCTGATTTTTTGAAAAGCAATATTTGAACTGTTTTCCAGTTAAGACCAGTATGGACCAGTTGTGGTTTCATTCCAGTTTCATTCCACCTTGGTATGACGCATGTCATGGAATAGAGATGCATTCAACTCCGCTAAAGTTTATGAATCTCCCAACTCTGAGTGCTCACCAACAACCCAGTTCACCAAGAATGTACCACAACAGGAGCTAACTGTTCTATTCTATTGAAAATAAAAGTAATTGTGTGCTCTTTCTTCCAACAATGATATTGTAATGATGAACGTTTTCTGCAAATGTTTGCAGAGTTGAACGCCAGTCTGATTTGGTCCAGTCCAATCTGGTTCTGGGCACTATGATCCAGTAGAATCCTGACCCACACTGATGATGTCATGAATCATGATGGATATTCATTGGGGCCCTGGGTTGGTCAGTCAGAACAGGACATTTATTCTCAGGAGACTGGAAAGGGCCATTGTAATTTAGGCCTTATTTAGGGCAGATTGCCCCGGATTAGATTATCCTGGGTGTGTGATAGGTGTTTTTCTGTTATTGTAGAGTGATTTGAGGTATGATTCCTATGAGAAACAGGTTTACAGTCATGTTTCATGTTTGACATCATTGTTTCAGATAAGTTTGGATTTTTCTTGAGTTTGGATTTTATTTTAGCAACTCAATTGCTCAGTAAGCAAATGTATGATACATGGAACAATGGAAGTGTTGTATTTTTATCATTATATATTTTCAATTGTTGTTATATGTTAAGTGCCTTATCTGTAATGTATGTACCCTCTCTCACCTTTCTACCTTCTTCAGCTCCTCTTATCCTCATTTGTCCTTTCTCCCTCTTTCTTTTCCTTCTTGTTGTCCAATATGTCACCCACTCCTTCTACTCTCCCCTTCCACTCATCATCTCCTCCTCCCTCACTCTGAAAGAGATCCTCCCCTCACAGCCTTTCACATCCCCATTCTAACCCTCGTTCATTTGTACTAACCTTGACCAACCTTCCTCTCTTCCCCCGTCGCTTTGGAAAAACAACAGTCACGTAATTACAGTGTTATTTTTTTTGTGTATTATGATGCTTAAGTATTATCATTAATAATAAAAACAACGATCATGAATCACAATGCCAAACCTGTCTACTCCAATGTTTGTTTTACACACTCAAATTATGAAGTTCTCCTCACTGATGGGTAAGGGGAGGGTATCCATAGGTTTCCTATGTCTTGGTTTAGGTACTGAGGCCTATAACCTTCTATAAGCACAGGAATTGTATATTGTGCACTTATTTTAGTGTACACACATACAATACATTTCTGAAATAGGAGTAGTAGGTTTATTACATTATAATACACAATTACATTATAATATATTATAATGTGAGTATAACATATCACTCAAATAATCTTAAAGGCTAAGATCTTGCTTTGACTCAAATAACATATTATACAGATGGTTTTGGCCTGGGATTCTGTGTACCTGGTCAAACATTGGGGTTGCCCTCTTATTGGATGTCACGTGTATCCCGCTAGTGACTGAAGAAAAGTGTTACACAGCTAGAGCAGACTTGGGCGCCTATACAGTCATTGCTGCTAGCCTTGAACGCCATCTTGGATCTAGATGGTTTTTAAACGGGGAAAACAGGAAAATGGACAGAAAAATAGATACTTTCGCTCTTGTTTTGTAATTTCCCCCATTGGCTGATGATGAAGAAACACGAGTCATGACATCACCGCTTTATTTGCTGATATAGAGGTCCATAAAATCGGTTAAATCTGAGAGGAAATAGGATTGTGGACTGAGGAAATTTCCGGAGTTTACTGTAACTTGTTTTGTTTGTTTATGTTATTTAACCCGGACATGGACTCTTCCAACCCAGGTACAGTAAAGTTTTAAGCTTGTGGGAAGTTCAAATGTCACCGGTGATAATGCAGATGGAAAAATTGGCGATCCCATGGCGCTTTGAACGAATCTGTCACTTTCTCCCGATTGCTTCTGATGACAGCATTAGGGAGCTAGCTCGCTCAGCTGGGGCTAAGCTAACTGGCAAGCGATAGCAGGCTAACAGGGTATTTGACTTTGACATTTGACTTGAAGAATTTAACTAGCTAGCTACTTAGCTAGCTATTGACGTCTCTGTCTTATTGCCTTTCTTGCAAAATCGTAGTTAGCTACCAACCTTGGCAAATAGCTTGTCATACTTTTTAGTTGGCATGACCTGAGCCGGTTAATGTTGCCAACTCGCAATGTTCGCTTAGCTAGTTATCAGTTTTAGCTAGCTAGCTAGCTAGGTGACAGACTTGCGTAAATTATGTTCATATAGCTAGTTAACTAGCTAGCTAGTTTGAGTCGATATTTCATCAAAACAAGTGTTATTTTTACCGAACGATTTGCTCTTTTTTTTTTGCCAGCTAACAGTTAGCTTGTTCTGCTTGGCTACTGTATTTGTTAGCTAGCTTGCTAACTAAGTTAACGCGTAGCCATAGGTTTCATTACCAGAGAGGCAATAGCTTGCTCGCTATACTCACAACTGCAATGGAGAGCTACAGGATGTGCATGGTTCAATCCAGCATTCACACACCTTCATTTTATATCAAGTCTGACGATTGGTTGATTAAGGTGTGTTACTACATGGCTGCCTGGAACACAATATATACCGGTAGATATGTTTATGGTTAAATAAGTGAAACAAACAGTTGTTACTGAAGTGGAACACTTGTAGCATCGTGTAACGTTACGTTGGATAATTTCTGTGTGTGTGTGTGTGTTTGTGTGGCAGACATACCAGATGACTCACTGGGTTTGGGAGCTGGTGGGGCCCAGTCAAGCAGCAGTGCTGTTGTGCTGAAAGGGTCCAATAAGAGACGAGCTGCGTGAGTATAATTTACAATGCCAATGAATCAGTCAATGACTGTCACATAACTTTAACAGAAGGTCTATAGCTATGACAGTGCAGGGTAGAAGTTGTCCATAGGTGCAGAATCAGATTCACACAGATAAATTGTTGATCCATTCTTGTGTGTGTTAGTGTTTGAGAGTTTGTGGGTTACCATAATTTTACAAACATGGATTATGTCTACTTCCTCACAGGCCAGACTTCGATGATGATGATGATGATGATGGAAGCAAGCTCTTCAGGTAGGACTGACACTTGTCTCTCGCTGTTTCTTGCTTTCTCTCTCTTATCTCTCTCCTTCCCTCTCTCTCTATCTGACTGTATTGTGTTGGTTATTTTGATGACAGATCTGCTTCTCTGTCTTTGACCAGGTGTGATGACGACGGAGGAGGAGGAGGAGGAGGAGGAGACAAAGAGCGATTTGCCAGGTAGAATAAGGAGGTTGTTGGTGCGTGTTTGTGCGTGTGTATAATACAGATATTCTGCATACACACGTCCCGAGACACCAGATTCCCTATCACACCACTGTGATTCCTGTCACTACTACTAACCCTTCTCTATCTGCTCATTTCTGAGCTCAGGGACACCTGTTCACTCCTATCAATCCCTTTCTTCTGAGCACAATCCCTTTCTTCCCCTCCTTCCTTCACTCCCTCCTTCTCTCTCTCAGGATCTCTGAAGTCTTTTTCTTTCAGCACTTCCTCTCTTCTATCACTCCTTCTCGCTTTGAAAGACCAGGTTCTCTTGATCTCTACATCTATCTATCGTATTGATGGATCATTCACTCCTTGTTATGTTTATCAATCCACGCTTGTTCCACCTACCTCATCCTAATCTGCATATATCATTTGGTTACGCCAACACTAAACTCTACTAAATGTTGTCCACCTACCTGCCCACCTCTCCCCATTTATATCCATCCCCCTTTCTCTCTCCTCTTCCTCTTTCTCCCCATCTCTACCCCATCCCTGTCCCTCCTCCTTCTCCATCTCTGCCGCTCCTCCCCCTGCTCTCCACATCTCTACCCCCATCTCTGTCCTTCCTACTCTCCTCTCTTCCTCTCCTCCCTCATTCCCTCGCTCCAGGGAGAACCACAGTGAGATTGAGCGGCGGCGGAGGAACAAGATGACCGCTTACATCACAGAGCTGTCGGACATGGTGCCCACCTGCAGCGCGTTGGCACGGAAACCAGACAAGCTGACCATCCTGCGCATGGCCGTGTCCCACATGAAGTCTCTGAGAGGGAGCGGCAACACCGCAGCAGACGGGACATACAAACCATCCTTCCTCACCGACCAGGTTAGAGAAAGAGAGGGAGAGAAGGAGGATGGGAGGGAGGAGATGGGGGTTGAGGGATGAAAAGGGGAAAATGTTATCCTATGTGTTTATTGCACAATAATAACTGAGTATCTTCTTCCATGTCATCTCTCCCCCCATCCCCCTCTTTGTAGGAGCTGAAGCACCTGATCCTGGAGGCTGCTGATGGCTTCCTGTTTGTGGTGTCATGTGAGAGTGGGCGGGTCGTCTATGTGTCAGACTCCCTGACCCCTGTTCTTAACCAATCGCAGTCCGACTGGCTAGGCTCCTCCCTCTACGACCAGCTGCACCCGGACGACGGAGACAAACTACGAGAGCAGCTCTCTACTGCAGAGAATAACAATACAGGTACACACAGGTGGTACAGATTATCTACTGGAGCAGCTCTCCACTGCAGAGAGTTATAATACAGGTACACACAGGTGGTACAGATTATCTACAGGAGCAGCTCTCCACTGCAGACAGTTATAATGCATGTACACACAGGTGGTACAGATTATCTACAGGAGCAGCTCTCCACTGCAGAGAGTTATATACAGGTACACATGGTACAGGACTACAGGAGCAGCTCTCTACTGCAGAGTTATAATACAGGTACACACAGGTGGTACAGATTATCTACAGGAGCACTCTCCACTGCAGAGAGTTATAATACAGGTACACACAGGTGGTACGATTATCTACAGGAGCAGCTCTCCACTGCAGAGAGTTATAATACAGTACACACAGGTGGTACAGATTATCTACAGGAGCAGCTCTCTACTGCAGAGAATAATAATACAGGTACACACAGGTGGTACAGATTATCTACAGGAGCAGCTCTCCACTGCAGAGAGTTATAATACAGGTACACACAGGTGGTACAGATTATCTACAGGAGCAGCTCTCCACTGCAGAGAGTTATAATACAGGTACACACAGGTGGTACAGATTATCTACAGGAGCAGCTCTCCACTGCAGAGAGTTATAATACAGGTACACACAGTGGCACAATTATCTACAGAGCACTCTCCACTCAAGATTATAATACGGTAAGAGGAAACACCTCTCTCACACAACACTAATGATTGTAGGTAACGTCTCTCTCTCTCTCCCTCTCTCTCTCTCTCTCTCTCTCTCACTCTCTCTCTCTCCCTAAGGGAGGATGTTAGACCTGAAGACAGGAACAGTTAAGAAGGAGGGACAGCAGTCCTCCGTCAGGATGTGTATGGGAGCCAGACGATCCTTCATCTGTAGGATGAGGTGTGTGTGCTGTGTGTGTGCTGAGCTTGCGTGTGTGTATATGGCTGTATGCACCTGTGTTGGGAGTGTGCATTCTGAAATGTGTGTGTTTGTAGGTGTGGTTCGTGTCCAGTGGAGCCCATGTCTATGAACAGATTGAATTTCCTGAGGAGCGGGAACAGGTGAGATAATTCTGGCTTTATAAACATTATATTACATTAAACTTCACTGGTTTCAACCTGACTTATATATTTTACCGTAAAAGGTGAATGTATAGACCCATGGGGCGGCGCGCACAATTGGCCCAGCGTCGTCCAGGGTAGGGGAGGGAATGGCCGGCAGGGGATGTAGCTCAGTTGGTAGAGCATGGCGTTTGCAACGCCAGGGTTGTGGGTTCGATAAAAAAATAATGTATGCACTAACTGTAAGTCGCTCTGGATAAGAGCGTCTGCTAAATGACTAAAATGTAAAATGTATAGTGAACTATGGCTTGACTGGTAGTGTTCTCCCCTCTTTCTCTCCCCTGTAGGAGTGGTCTGGGCCCAACCAAGGATGGGGAGCCTCAGTATGTGGTGGTCCACTGCACCGGATACATCAAGTCCTGGCCCCCCACAGGTAACTAACTAACTAACCTATGGCTCAGCTCTTATTTCCAATGTATACACCACTGCTGCATACTGAGTCGTGTGTGTGTGTATGTGTGTGTGTGTGTTTTTCAGGGGTGAATCTAACAGATGAAGAGGCAGACAATATTCAGGGGAGTCACTACAGTCTAGTGGCCATCGGTAGACTTCAGGTAAGATGGGACAACTTAAAGTCCAATGTTTGGATGGGCTCATGCAACCACTATCTTACAGACACTTGTTCTACCCTTGTTGTCTAGGTGACCTCTTGTCCGAGCGACACAGACATAAACAGCATCAGCGTTCCGGTGGAGTTCATCTCTCGTCACAACTGCCAGGGCCTCTTTACCTTCGTAGACCACCGCTGCATGGCCACAGTGGGCTACCAGCCTCAGGTAGGCCTCACTCACAGCCTGGGGCTAGAGTAGGACACACACCCAGCATTGCATTTCATAGTGTATCAGGATACAGTACACTACCGTTCAAAAGTTTGGAAATTTCCTTGTTTTCGAAAGAAAAGCAATTTTTTTGTCCATTAAAATAACATCAAATTGATCCGAAATACAGTGTAGACATTGTTAATGTTGTAAATGGCTATTGTAGCAGGAAATGGCTGATTTTTAATGGAATATCTACATAGGCGTACAGAGGCCCATTATCAGCAATGTGTTCCAATGGCACGTTGTGTTTGCTAATCCAAGTTTATCATTTTAAAAGGCTAATTGATCATTCGAAAACCCTTTTGCAATTATGTTAGCACAGCTGAAAACTGTTGTGCTGATTAAAGAAGCAATAAAACTGGCCTTCTTGAGACTAGTTAAGTATCTGGAGTATCAGCAATTGTGGGTTCGATTACAGGCTCAAAATGGCCAGAAACAAATAACTTTCTTCTGAAACTCGTCAGTCTATTCTTGTTCTGAGAAATTAAGGCTATTCCATGCAAGAAATTGCCAAGAAACTGAAGACCTCATACAACGCTGTGTACTACTCCCTTCACAAAACCGCGCAAACGGGCTCTAACCAGAATAGAAAGAGGAGTGGGAGGCCCCGGTGCACAAATGAGCAAGAGGACGAATACATTAGTGTCTAGTTTGAGAAACAGACGCCTCACAGGTCCTCAACTGGCAGCTTCATTAAATAGTACCGCAAAACACCAGTCTCAACGTCAACAGTGAAGAGGCGACTCCGGGATGCTCCGGGAGTTGCAAAGAAAAAGCCATATCTCAAACTGGCCAATAAAAAGAAACGGTTCAGATGGGCAAAAGAACACAGCCACTGGACAGAGGAAGATTGGAAAAAAGTGTTATGGACAGACGAATCAAAGTTTGAGGTGTTCGGATCACAAGGAAGAACATTTGTGAGATGCAGACCAAAATGAAAAGATGCTGGAGGAGTGCTTGATGCCATCTGTCAAGCATGGTGGAGGCAATGTGATGGTCTGGGGGTGCTTTGGTGGTGGTAAAGTGGGAGATTTGTACAGGGTAAAAGGGATCTTGAAGAAGGAAGGCTATCACTCCATTTTGCAACGCCATGCCATACCCTGTGGACGGCGTTTGATTGGAGCCAATTTCCTCCTACAACAGGACAATGGCCCAAAGCACAGCTCCAAACTATGCAATAACTATTTAGGGAAGAAGCAGTCAGCTGGTATTCTGTCTATAATGGAGTGGCCAGCACAGTCACCGGATCTCAACCCTATTGAGCTGTTGTGGGAGCAGCTTGACCGTATGGTACGTAAGAAGTGCCCATCAAGCCAATCCAACTTGTGGGAGGTGCTTCAGGAAGCATGGGGTGAAATCTCTTCAGATTACCTCAACAAATTGACAACTAGAATGCCAAAGGTCTGCAAGGCTGTAATTGCTGCAAATTGAGGATTCTTTGACGAAAGCAAAGTTTGAAGGACTCAATTATTATTTAAATTAAAAATCATTATTTCTAACCTTGTCAATGACTACATTTCCTATGCATTTTGCTATATTTCCTATTCAAACTCATTTCATGTATGTTTTCATGGAAAACAAGGACATTTCTAAGTGACCCCAAACTTTTGAATGGTAGTGTATGTGTTTATACTGTGTGACAGCTGTAAGCTTGATCTAACTTTTTCTGTGTTGTGTGTGTGTGTGTTGGCGCGTGTGTGTGTGTTCCCCAGGAACTGCTGGGTAAGAACATCTTGGAGCTGGCCCACCCTGAGGACCAGGGTCTGCTGAGAGACAGCTTCCAGCAGGTGGTCAAGCTGAAGGGTCAGGTGCTGTCCGTCATGTTCCGCTTCCTGTCCAAGGCCAGAGACTGGCTGTGGATTAGGACCAGCTCCTTCACCTTCCAGAACCCCTTCTCTGAGGAGATAGAGTACATAATCTGTACCAATGCCAACGTCAAGTACGTGCTGTATATATACACACACACACACACATTTGCACCAACGCAAACTTCAAGTACCTACACACACACACACACACACACATGCATTACCTGCTCCAATGCAAGTCACCTGAGTGCGAGACGCCTACAACACACAGACACCACAACTCTATTCCACCTCAACATCTGAACAGCTTCACTCTGTTTAACCAATCTGTTGAGCCACCTTAGGAAATGTGATGTCATCTCTTCCAGGATGTGTGTTTGTCAGTATATGTTCACCTCCCCCTCCCCTCCATACCCCCTTCAAAGAAATCATTCTCTCCCTTCCTCTCCTCCTCACCCCTTGTTTTTGTTGTGGGCCAGTAGAACCTCGACTCAGGACCCCCTCACCCCCATCTCGTCCTCGGGGGTGTCTTTGCCTCCCTCGCTGGGGGAGAGCAGTCCTAACTGCCCCCCTGTGGCCCTCAGCCCAGGGCAGGTGGCTGCCAGGTGAGACCAGACCCCCTCCACCCCCTCTGGCATGGGTCAGCTGGGGCTGCTGCTTCACTGGAGACTACACCTCTCTATTTCTCTCTTGTTTCCCTTTATTTTATTGTTCTCTCTGGTCTGGTCCAGAGTTCACCCCTTGGTAAGGGCTGTGGATTGTTACTTGACTTGACCGGGTCTTTCTGTTTTGGGGTGATTTTCCCCTCCCTCTCCCTCCTCTACAGTAGTAGGATATCCATCATGACCAAGGTGTTGGTTACGATCCCCCCTCTCCCCTCTCCTCTCTTCTTCTTGGTTACCATGGTGACTGGTGGTGGAATGAGTGCTGTTGGTCGGCAGGTGTTTTTGGTTTCCCGAGCAACGGTGGAGGGCCTTGACGAAATTATATTTTCTGTTGTCACTGCTAACTTTTCTCCCTCTACCACTCCCTCTCCTCTTTTCTCCCTCTACCACTCCCTCTCTTTTCTCCCTCTTTTCTCTCTCTACCACTCCCTCTCTTTTCTCCCTCTTTTCTCTCTCTACCACTCCCTCTCTTTTCTCCCTCTACCCTCTAAAATGCCTCTACCCTCTCTTTTCTCCCCTTTTTCTCCGTCTCTAAACTCTCCTCGCCACTCCTCTTTTTTCCTTTCCCTATTTTCTCCCCTACCACTCCCACTATTTATACCCCTCTATCTCCATTTCTCACCCCTCTTTTCCCCGTTTTTCTCCTAACTAACTAACAACTCCCTCTCTTTTCTCCACTCCTCTCCCTCCCTCTCTCTACCACTCCTCTAGTTTCTCCTCTGTTGCTCCCTCTACCAAACAACCCTCTTTTCTCCCTCGCTCCCCCTTTACAGGCAGTTGCAGCAGCAGCAGGCAGAGTTGGAGGGAGGAGGGAGAGATGGTCTGTACGAGGCAGGACAGGTTACACTTCCACAGGTATGACTAACACTGACTAACACACACACCTATCTGCCCCCACGTGGCCCTCAGCGCAGGGCGGTAGGTAGCCCAGCAGCTAAGGAGTCGAAAGGTGGCTGGTTCGAATCCCATGCCGGGCTCTGGGGAAAAAAGGGGGGAGTGATCTGGCAACTGGAGGGCGGCTGGGTTCACGTCCTCAAGACTTTCCCCTACCCACACAACATGCTCTCCATCCAGGGGGATGACCCTGTGCTCATCTCAACTGTATGTGTGATGTGTGCTGTCTCGGGGGGGGGGCAGAAGACACATTTCCATTGTTCGACGTAACATGGACATTGTTGTACCTACCTCCAAGCCTTTAGTGAGTATTGACTGCTGGTTGACCGTTGTCCATGTCAGATGCCTGTCCAGGCGGTGACCGCAGCTGGAACTGACCACAGTAAGACCATGGACAAGGCAGAGCTGTACCCCTCCCCAGACCAGGCCAAGGTCCTGCCCTCCACCTCTGCCCCCGGAGTACCCATCTACCCTCAGGGCAACAACAGCTACACCGCTGCCAACCGCTCCAAAGACACATACATCAGGTATGACCATTACCCCCTGTTGTACTGTTTTAAACTGATCTAAGGGCAATGTATACTGAATAAGCTATTCTAATTTCCTGTTCCTGTTGTTATGAACTAATTCCAGGTCAGTGGGGATGGCCCCTCAGATGGTGCAGCCGTCCCACTCTGCAGGCCAGATGCTGGCTCAGATGTCCCGTCAGAACGGGGCACCCCCCTCCAACAGCAGCCCCCTACAGGGAGGGGTAGCGGTGGGCTGGCCGGGGGCAGTAGCGGGGGCTAGACCCCCCTTCCACAACCAGGTGAGATAGCTGGTAGCTGCAGGTAGAAGGTTGTCCAAACAGCCTGAAGTTTATATCCTCTGTTTTTGCCCAAAGTGCTACAGATGTACAATCTTAATTTAAGACCGTTTTCTACAGCAGGAAAATAATCCTGCAGCAACAGGAAATGTGAATTATGTGGATTATAATGAATATACTTTTTTTTTAGGGGTTGATACATTCAAGTCTGTAATTTCAAATAGGAAATTACAAACGTCAGAAGCTTTTTTTAAACCTCAAATACAATAAAAGTTTAAAATTTGCTGCATTGCAGGAAAGTTATCCTGCAACAGGGTGATCAAATTTAAAATCTGTAGCTGGCGTGATGGGGATGAGTGCCCTGAGTGTCTTGCATCTCTGTATCTTAGCGTTGTAAAGGACCAAATATTTTATTCCCCTGTGTAATCCATGTTTTGAGGATCACACCCCTGACAGTTTCACTAGTAAATGCATAGAAGAAACCTTGTACATTCATAAAGTGTGAATAATAACATTGTGTTTTTCTGTGTTCTCCTCCCGCCCAGCAGGTGGTGCCCCAGGCAGGGAAGGCTCTGTCTCCCCAGTTTGCCATGGGGAGTTTTGGGGGGGGCTCGTCCTCCTCATTCGGGGTGATGCCCCCCACTACTGCTCCGACCCCCACCACGGGGGCTAACTACCCCAACATCAACCGCTGCGCCAGCCTCAATACCAACGGATATGGTACGCGACCCTGAGAGAGAGAGAGAGAGAGAGAGTGTGTGTGTCCAACAACTACAGTACAGTGTTTTTATGTGTTTGTGTATCCTGGTGTAGTTAGGTACTGACCCTCCCTTTGTCCTGCCTCTGTCAGATGGCTTGGGGTCGGGGCAGCAGTTCCCCTCCAGGGCAGAGGAGGCAGTGTGGCCCCAGTGGCAGGGCCAGCAGCAAACTCAGAACAGGGCAGAGCAGCACCCCCACGCACAGAACAACCAGCCTGACATCTTCCCTGTAAGTCACTACTCCTCTCTCTCTGTCTCTCTCTCTCTCTCTCTTCTCCATCTCTCTTTGTTTCTCTCCTTCTGACTGTACGTTTTGTTATGTGTTGTCATGTTGCTTTGAAGTTTAATCTCTCTCTTTCTCTCCCTCTCTCTCTCTCTCTCTCTCTCTCTCTCTCTCTCTTTCTCTCTAGGATGTTCTCGCCATGCTGGACCAGCCGGCCAACTTCAACAACGATGACTTTGAGATGCCCATCTACCCCTCTTTCAACGAGTGACCCCAAATACACTCCTCCACTGACCTCTCTATCTCTCAAATGTTTCCTTCTCTCTCGTTTGGTGCTCTTTTGCTCTCTTTCTTTGCCTTTTCTGATCTAAAGAGAGCATGTCTAAATATTGGTCAGATGATTGCACTGCCAGGATGGAGAGAGCGAGTTTAATCAGGGAAAAGTAAGAGTGAAATCAAGTAGAGGTATGCAAACGCAGGTTTAATAAACACGTAAAAGGCCAGAGGAAGAAAGGGAGAGAGAAAAGCGAGTCAGGGTTCAACGATAGTTGGGCAAATGTAAAATGACACATCTGTAACTAGCACTGCCCAAAGCTCCACAACCAATGGATTTGTTGTAGAGATGCAACACACAATCACACCTGAGCAAGCACAAGGCCAGACACTGAGGCAGGCGCTGCTTCACCAGTAACACACAAACATGGCCTTTCAGTAACAGAGTCAGATGTGTGTTTAGATCTGTGCTGCTCCACTGATCTGTACATCATATGGCATAGATCAGTCCAATCATTCACTTGAACTCTCAGGCAATCCAGGTGATCTACAGCTTTCGGGGAATATGTGCACTTCTGATCTCATGCCTGTGAATATCCTCTGTCTGTGCTCCCCTCGCTGTTTTAGCTTAGCAACCCTTAGCATGTTCAAGAGAACACTGTCCTCACGCAGACTTTTTAAACTTTGGGCAGATTTATACGAACACTTTTCTATTTGTACACAGGGTACATTGGCGATGTCACCTATGAATGGGGTTATGGTGGTTTCAGGTGGAAGAGAGGGGGAGAGAGAGTCAGAGGTCTATGACTAGTAAAGTAAGGGAAGAGGAGGATATGGAACTATGAACACACATTTTACAGTGTATATTAGAACCTAATGTATTCCTACATATAACCCAGTATATAAGTCAAGTGTTTATATACGGTTATATGTCTACTGGAGGTGTTTGTATAACTTTATTGATCTCAACCTGAATGCACAGCAGTCCCAGGGTCCCTTTCTCACTCACTTGGATTCCTTCCTCTTCCTCTGTTGCCTGGGGTTACTCAGCACACTCTTCCTCCTCTCGCGCTCTTCCTCAGTCACCCTCCCAAGTGTGTTTTTCTTCTACTCTGTCAAAAACCATGTTTTTGTAAGAAAGGAAAATTAAAAACATTGGAAAGCAAGAATTTACAAGCAAGGATTATGTTATTTTTAAAGCCATTCTTTATTGTTGTCCTACGTGTTTTTATCTTGATTGTTTTGAATATGGAAATACACAGGAAATAGCAATGATTTGATTGATTGACATTTTCCCCAACTGATGTTTTTATTTTCAGACTTTTGATTGGCTCTTCTTGTTGGAAGCCCTCTCCATTGCTACTTTGTGTGATAGGTTGTTTTTTATGTATATTGATCAGGTTATAGCATCTTATTCAGGACAGAAAGGTCTTGTTTAGAGCTGACATGATTCTACATGACACAGAATCATGCCATGATGTTTGGCCTGAAATTCAAGTCTTCCTAATTATGTTCAAAACACATTACCCAATAATCAATTAAGCAGTAGATGCTGATTATGCGTTTGGCATTTAATAAACTTTTCTTCTTTTTTTACACATTGTACAGGATACGATTTGCAGTAGATTCAATCAGAGTTCATCCTTATCGGGATAGTTTGGCATTCACAAATATATGATCTAAATCAAACACAGCATTTGTTTTCTGAAATCGATTGTGATGTTTAGTAAGTCACTATAACACTCTTATACAAGGAATTAAGAATTCTGATTGGGCAAGTGAGGGCTATGAATTTTAAGGTTCTGAAATACAGAAATTGTTAATGTGTAGGCCTTTCATTTTCACAGAGCATAATTCACAGACATGTGAATTGTATGTAAACCCATCATGTATCAATAGTCACACGATGAAAATGGCAGTGTTTTGGTGACTGTGTTGTCTTGTTGTTTTAAACCACTTTGGTTGTTTTAAACCACTTGGTTGTTCCCTGTTTTTACAATGATGTGACCTGCAGTTTATATAGCGCACAAAGATACAGAAATATATGAATATATATGTATAAGAAATGTTAAACAAGAGAAAGAAATGTTTGGTTTTTGTATTAAATTGTTATATTGTCAAGAACTTGTGGGTGGATATTTGTTTCTTTTAGAGGTCGGGGGGCTGTAACATTTGAACAGTTCCTTTTTAGAAATGTGATGATTGTACAACGTCACTCCTATGTATAAAATGTGTAGGCCTAGTCATATCAGACCTGGGTTATAACACTATTTCAGGTTTTTCAATTACTTTTCAAAACAAGTATTCAGATAACCTTTTATTTGGAGAAAAAAAAACAAATAGTTGAATATTGGATTGTATTTGAAAATACTCATATACACTCATATACACACTTTCAAATACAATTTGGTAGATTATTTGGTTTTTACAAATAACCATTCAAATAAAAGTACTTGTTTTGGTCTGTGTATTTGAAAATTCCAAAATACACAGAAAAAGTATTTAAATAACACACTCAAATTCACAGCCCAAAAATTGCTCCCGAGTGTCGCAGCGGTCTAAGGCACTGCATCTCAGTGCTTGAGGCATCACTACAGACCCTGGTTCGATTCCAGGCTGTATCACAATCCGGCCGTGATTGGGAGTCCCATAGGGCGTGCATAATTGGACCAGCGTCGTCCGGGTTTGGCCGGGGTAGGCCGTCATTGAAAATAAGAATTTGTTCTTAACTGACTTGCCTATTAAAATAAAACAATGTATTTGAAATTAGGTCTGAGTCATATGCATAAAAACCATGACTTTGTCCTCAACTGTCTTTAGGATGTTCACATGGTCTCTACGTAAGAGAGGAACAAAGACATAATCCATCCATCCTATGTCTATCTATAGACACACAGATGGTTTCACTACGAAAGAGAGGAACAGAGAGTAGGATAGGAAGCTTACATAGAGAAAGGTTGCTATTTTCATTCTCTCTCATAATTTGTCTCCACATAGGCTAATTGTTCCACAGACTAATACTGTTAAATGGGTTTAGTACCAATGGACGAGCACCAGATGGCTAAAAAAACATAATCAGCGTTTGACCATGTGGTCTGTCACCAACCAATGGAGGGATACAGGGTGAACAGGCTTTTGTTCCAGCCCAGCACTAACAAACACTAATTCAGCTCATTGAGGTCTTGAAGAGCATGTATTGACAAGTCTGAGACACACACACAAACACATGCGTCCTACATAAGGTAGCCCCGTCTGTCCTCCCCCACTGGACAGTATTTTTAGCTGAAACCGGATCCCTTCAGCAACAGAGACTAAAGGCAACACTGCAAAACCCCTGCCTTTAACTAGCTACATGGGGACACACACACTAACCCGTTCTGACATGCAGACATCCACACTACTTATGCAGACACGCAGCAGGACGTTACGTACACATGGGGACACACCCATCTACAGTCAATAAAAACATTAAAAAGAGAGACGTGTGAGCTGAGGAAGTTATTTTCACCCATCTGGAACAAAGTTCAGTTACAACGACACACAAAGAGACACACTGCAGCAGACATTACGGATCCATAACCAGGTAATGTAGAATACAACATATATCTCATATCTCTGTGTGTTAGAGAGGGATACGTGTGGAAATAGTTTACCAGCAGACCTAAGCTACAGAGAGCTGTGTGTGAGTCAGACTAAAGCCCTGCCTGTGTGAATACTTTCCTAAGTGCAGACAGCCTGCATGACTAATATGGCCAGATTGAACGGCACATGTAAACAATGGCCTATTTTGGAACCCAGTTTGATTGTAGATGGGAGGAAGAGAGATCCTGTTCATGTTATATATTTCATTTGGATTGAATAACCAATGGGTTGTAGAACAGTTGTAGAAGCTCTGAGCGTTAACGAGGTCAGAGGGTGACAAGGAGCCAGGGGTCAGATAGGGATGGCCCCATTCAGTTCCAGGGGCGGCTGTGCAGAATTAAATCCAGAGGGGCATCTGTAATAAAAAAAAAGGGGGGGGGGGGGGGTACATGAGCCTACAAGCAACTTCACTCATTAAGCTATTTGTTTCTCTGCAGCTCCAATACTTCTAAAGGATGAAGAACCTTAGAGTTCCCCTCCTCTCTCTCTCCATCTGCCTGTTGCTGGGCAACCTGGGGGTGAGTGGCTACAGTAAAGACACACCCTGCCAACGGTCCCGATGCAATAACTGTCATGATAAGTTCCTAAACCGGCATGTGCGTCCAGATACCCCGATAACAACAGACCGCAACGTGTGGGAGAAGTACCTACGTGAAAACAGTGACTGCTCAAGACCCACGCAGTCCTTCCTCCATCCCAAAGACCGGGAGAGGGTGGACGCGGTCTGCTCCAGCTCTGGGGGAAAGACGTACCGGGGGAACCTGTGCATCAGCCAAAATTCGTTCACATTTCTAACAGTGAGGAGCGAGACTGGGACCTGTGGCGTGTCCAGCGTGCGGGAAGAGACCAAGCATTTGATCCTGGCATGTGAGGTGCTGGAGAACAGGTGTGTGCCGGTCCACTTCGAGGGGAACCGCGAGGGGAGCAAGCCCGACAATAACGCTGCAGGATGTGGCAGCACGGAGAAAGGGAAGGGCTCAAGCTTCAAAGTATCAGGAATGTGGCTGGCATCTTTATTGATACTCATGTTTCTCTCTCAACTCCTTTTCTGAACAGTTGAGGGGGGTGGGGTGGGGGTGGGGGGGGGGGGGGCAGATAGTCAAACAATACATCAAAAGGAAGTTTGTTTTAAAGTGTCTGTCCTATTGTTGCATGTTGGTTTATATTTCAGTATACTTCCATATATACTTCCATATATACTTCCATTCATTGGTGTGTAGCCCAAAATGTTCCGACGTGACAGACAGAAGTTGGCAGATCGGCGGTACCGACTTGTGGGGGTTGTAAAAAACTGAGAACACCATCATGTTCATGAGAGTCTCAACTTTCCATAGAGTGGTCATATTAGTTTGTAGGCCAAACCGTTCGGACACTACATTTTCGTGAGAAGACCAATTTTCGTGATGTCTCATGGTCTGACAAACACAGCTGTAGCTTGGCCACCTTCCACCTCCAGATGCGGAAGGCCGCCATTGGCTTAAAGCTACAATATGTAACTTTTTGGGCAAGCGGACCAAATTCACATAGAAATATGAGTTATAGATCTGTCATTCTCATTGAAAGCAAGTCTAAGAAGCGGTAGATCTGTTCTATGTGTGCTATTTTTGCATCTTTTACTTTCAGTTTTGTACACAAGCTTCAAACAGCTGAAAATGCAATATTTTTGGTTATGGAAAATAAATTTCATAGCGGGTTAGGTGGTACAATGATTCTCTACACAATGACTGATTATTTTCTCACATAAACTGAAATTAGGTGAACTATTAGAATTTTAGCAACCAGGAAATGGCAGAGTGATATTTGCATAGTTCATCTTTAAACAGGGGCGCGGACATCAACTCCAGTGGGTGTAGACTGCCATGTATTCAGGTCTGACCCTGGGCTATAACGTTTCACTCACAACAGTTAAAAAAACTGCCATGTATTCAGGTCTGACCCTGGGCTATGATAGCCTAGGGACCAGTCTGTTTAGCTAACATTCCAATCCTTGTACTCTGTGTCATATGCCAAAGATGTTTAGCATGAAAGGAGAGGCAAGGAGGGGAATGACAGCTAAACAGACTGTTACCCGTACCAGACTAGGGCTATGACGTTTCACTCACAACAGTTAAAAGACTACCATGTTTGTTCTCTCACAACATCTATTCTGAACAGTTGAAAGACTG